TGAACTATGATCCGTTATGGATCGCTACACGTGCCAACAGTTATCTCATCTGTCCTTGTGCCTTCTTAGGTCTCCGCCGAGCGTTCAACGGCTAGTCGCACCCACCGAAGCGTTGCTCGAACTGTCACCGAGTCGTAGTACCGTAGTCCGTCGGTTCTCGACCGCTGAATGTGAATCCATCCTTACCGATACGAACCACCCGACTTGAGTGACATCTTGGTCATAGTCGGGCCCGACGAACGTTCGGTAGCGATGTATCCTTGTCCATCTTGCACCGTGGTCACCACCTGTCGCATGACCGAGAGTTCGTGGCTTGAGCAACTTAAATGTAGCCACTTCAGCGATTACTTAAAAATCACTACACCACAACTTTTTAGCTGTTGCGCGCTTCCAGCCCCTACTAACCTGTTGTGGGCACTGATGGACTGTTGCTCGTTCATACACAATATGAAAATCTGTTATAGTATACTTATTGCATGTTTATGTTTTTGTAAATATTTGGTTGTCTCTTCGTGGTGTTGTTGGTTTTTTGTACACAACTTCAATCGCCGGTCTACATCGTAGAATCCATCTTCGGTGGATTCTTCGGTAAGTGCTGGTCTTCGAGCTCGAGGTCGGCCAGGGGTCCGCCTCTCTGGTACACTGGCCATAGCAGCGTCTACATCAAGTAGACCGAGAAGTGATAGCGTAGCAATTGCATGTGAACAAATCCAACCTGAACGCACGAAGGATTCGCACGTGCAGTGGAGGAACTGTCGAATTTGCTGTATGATGTGAGCAGGCCAAATCGCAGCTAGTTCGAATCTAGGTGGGAGTGTTTGAGCCAAGATCAACACTCTGTGTAGAGAGAGTAACTCGAATTCCACTTCATTTGCCTTGATCCCTCTCGGAAATCTTCCCTTCAGAGAATGCAGAAATTTTACATCACGCGCTTGACCAACATCAGTACTTAAAAACCCTTGGCTTCCAACAATGTGCTTTGACACGTTAACACAATCGTGGTCAATTG